CTGCGCGTGATCCGAGTTTTGATCTCATAACAGCTTTCGCTGTAAAAAACAAAACAAAAACATGATTGCAAAGTTATAATGCTGCTCGGAGTTTTTGTGATTATGTTCAGAATAACCGAAAATACTGAATCCTGATGACTGGCTGCTAACCACAATCAACACATAATCATACTGAATATGAAAGGCACCTTTCACATCGAATAAAGATTTACAAGTTCCCCAGTTCTTTTAAGGTAATCGCATACAATTGCGTTAGACTATATAAGACATACTTAGGTTCTTTGAAACAGAGTTAATATATTATATATTATTATAATATTGTTAATATTCCTATTTGTTATTATTACATTTCACTTTATTTTTTATTGTCTTCCCATGATGCTCGTCTTGTCTTCCATTCTTGCTATTTTGTGCTGAGTTTCTCTTTTTGTATGTGTGTTTTCGCTCTTTTACAGTGAAAGCTGTTATGAGATTACAACGCGGGTCAGGTGCGTGCCGCAGTTGACTTAACCTTCAGAAAAATTTCATATAACAATAACACCTAAGCTATTCAAGATGATCTCTTACTTTTTTCTTTCACTTTTTTCACAGTGTGCCAAAATAATCCTGCCAAGTCAAAACAAAGTAATCTTATTTCCCTAGCGTGGACAATCTTAAAGTATTGACTTAGTGGGTGAGAACTACAAAAAAGGATCAAGCAAGCAAGCAAGCAAGGAAGCAAGCAAGCAAGCAAGCAAGCAAGCAAGCAAGCAAGTTGTCTGCCGCCGGTGTCCATAACCACTATCTCACGGAATAAAAAAGGAAAAGTCAAAAAATAAAAACACCAATGACGCAACGCGATTCAACCCCGGCTGCCCTGCGTGGCAGCCCAGTATACTACGACAGAACCACGCCGATGCTTGGAACTCCCTCGCAAATAGGCCCTAAGCAGGCTTGATGACGGAAGAGGAATCACGTTAATATTGGTAATAAAGCGTTATAAATCAGGCAAGGAACAACCATATGTCAGATAATGTGAATTACGCAACGAGTGGGTCGTCGAATGCTCCAATCTTTTAGAAAAGCTTGATGTTGTTCACCTATTAACTGGGGCGCATAACCACTGTGGGGGATTCGAAGTGATTACAAAAGCTTCTGGCGTGATTCTTCACCATCGTCAGCCACAGCACACAAAAATTGCACAATGTTCATTGCAAGCGTGCCACAGGTACCACGCTTCTCTGAAGAATGACGAAGGATGGCATAGTGAATGCCTGCATACTACACAATAATTAATGGCGTAGTGGGTACCCTGCAAGTGTGCTTGCAGTAGCTACCCAAAGATTGATAAAAGAGGCTCTTAAATGCCGCTCTTCTAGCTTTCGACGTGACAGTGCGGCGCGTTCAGTGCAGGCCTGGTGTGTTTTTATTTGATCTTTTTCTGTAGATTATTGTATCGCCCGTTTTTTATTGTTTTATTTTTTCGTGATCTTCCATAAAACCTTATGGTTGTTCCTAGGCAAGGTAAATAAATTATTGATTGACTAATTGATTGATTGATTGATTGAATAATTATAATTATGAGATGTGTAAAACACAAACAACACGAACACACATAGTCATTAGGAAGAAAAACAGGCTGACAACTGCCACCTAGATAGGCGCAACACCTGGGCGCTGCTTCTGGAATGGGGACACACAGAGGAAAAGAAAGTAGGGTGAATCAAAGAGGAGAGAAGCGATAAATACAGGCAAATAGAAACAAAGTGAAAACTACACTTTTTGTATGAAGAAAAATAATAAGCCAGTTACACCGATATGTACAGTTACTTTTTTTTTACAAAGCAATGACAATCAATCTGAGTTCACCTATAACACACGAAAATTTTCACCCCTGATGGCTCTGTAAGAACGGCTGAACTTGTGCATTACATCACTGGCTAAGTGTACTAGGAAATATCCCAGGTCTTCTTGCTTGCGAATATGCACGTTAAATAATAACGAGTAGTTAAAATTGATCCGGAGTCCCCTAATTCGGTGTGACTCATAGTGCTGACCTTGTTTTTGCACGTAACACCCAAAGAACTATTTTTTTTGCGTGGGGGTCACAAATCGCTCATGAAAAAAAAACATAGAAACACCCACGTACCAAGAAGATGAAGATTCTAAAACGCAAACAAAAGAAGCTGAAAAATGCACCATTTCTGCGTTTGTGTGAAAACTATGTTGGATGCACACAAACTGAATAGTACTGAATAATAAGACCTACAAGCTTAGATTTATGGCATGATTGTAAATATTGGTGAACAGTTCATCAACTTGAACTCTGCTGATTGAGGTAAGTGCAAAATTTCAACAAGGTTACAACAGTGAGGGATGTTTTTGGATGATGAAGCTTAAGTAAAATTATTTTACAACACTTTACTGAACAAAACAACCGCTTTTTAAAAAGAAATTTGTGGTTTTACCCTCACGTTGAGCAAATATTTACAATTTAAGAGTGCAGATTACATTAGACGCGCTGTGGCAATGCCGATCTGTGGTGTTGCACTGAGAAAAATATTTGGTAGCTACACCAGTATTAAGGTCGTTGAAAAAGATTATTAAAAATTTTTGACCGTATTCATAACCGACTTGGCTGCCATCTTCAGTAATAAGTTGCAGCTGGCCGTTTTGGGAATTATCAGAAAGATAACACCATAATGTTTTGGGATCAAGTCAAAGGTTGGAAGACAAAGCAGATTGCAAAAAAATGTTGTAGCCATTAATTACATTCCACTTAGCTCGCACATAGTAGCATTTCCATTTTTCTGGTCTACTGTGTTGCTTCTAGCAGCTGTTTGAACGGGGATTTCTTTTTCATGAAATGGCTTTTTAGGCCTTTGTTGAAAAAATTTTTTCAGGCTTCTCATGAAATAATTGGTTCATGTAATAGTGCGCTATTGAATAATCCGAGATTAGCGTTCACAGTCCGACTAAGGTTAGTGCTTTTGTAAGTAACATCATGTGCATGTACGCTCTTTTGTATTTTTTGCAATTGCCCCTGTGATATAGTATGTTAGATTTTTTTCCATTTTATTACGATGAATACTGTTATGGTTACTAAGGCTAGGAAGTACTGATACGCGTGGAATGTCACCTGAAATGTCGGTTAGTGAGAGATCAACGATGTTATCTCAGGCAAGATAACAACTGGTTATTCAGAGTAACTGATTGGATCCAAAGAGAAGGCAAAGTCGTGAGGGGGAGACAGAAAGTGCGGTGGGCTGACTGGATCAAGAAGTTTGTAGATATAGCGTGGCCGCAGCAAGCACAGGACTGGATTAAATGTTAGAGAATCGGAGAGGCCTTTGCCCTGGCGAGAAGGGGTCAAGCTGGCGATTATGTTGAATATCATCTTCTCTGTTCGTACGAGTTTCTGCCTTTAGCCTGGGAGCGCACTCTAGAGCTTATGCCAAGGAACATCATGGATTTGTTTGACAATGACCGGCCGGGTGCGGATAAAAGAGAGACCAGTCAGTAAAGGGAAAGCTAAAATTGCAGTCATGACCCATAAAAATAAATTTTAGAATATTTTGATTCGATCATTGCAAAAGCATACCGAAGTAGACGGTTGATTGTTAGGTGGCCGGAGCAGACAGTCAATACTGATCTTACGTATTAGCCGTAAATTCACACTTGAGATAACTTCAAGTTTGAGTCATGTCCGATTAGTGGTGGTGCTAACTCGAATTTAAAATTTATAATGACGCCACCTCCACTCTTACTTACTTGGTCGAGATGACAAAGTGCGAGGTTTCGGGGAATAGTTCGGAAATGTGCGGACCGATTTCCCTCTTTTTCTTTCCTTCTTATTCTCCCCATTCTTACCCTATCGCCCATTGAAACTCGGACTGCTAAACTAAGCTCTCAGCAGTTTTGTTTTGTTTTCTCCTTGTTTCGATATCCCTTCCATTCGTCAAGTTACTAGAATAAATTCAATGTCGGCGATTAACATCAGTGACAAAGCTGTCCAATCTGTTTCTATAAACCATATCAGTAATGATGATGATAATGACAAAAAGAGAATTGTCAAGGTGATTTTGTTTGGGCGCAACCTTGACAATGCGTGCCAGTAAGCCAATGCTGGCATATATATATATATATATATATATATATATATATATATATATATATATATATATATATATATATATATATATATATATATATATATATATATATATATATATATATATATATATATATATATATATATATATAGAAGATGTTACGGTGAGATCAGTTTGCCACTTCTCTCGGCCGCCGAATAGAATGTGGTGTCTTGAAGGAGTTTGTGGGTTTTTCGATTTGTGTGGACAGAAGTCCCGAAAAAAGACAGAGAATGCTTTCGCTAACGCAGAATTCACAGCCGTATAGTTTAACCGCAAATTTCATTGCAGGTTCAGTAAACAACATCTTTGAGTCTGCATGGCGTGTTGCGGCTGCGGAACATTTAGTAATTCCACTTGTTTTCTTCCCTTAATACAATCGCGCACTACGATACCTCCTGTTGTTTTGAAATGGCCTCATAGCAGTCTGAATGCTATAATGAGTGAAAGTGGTAGTCAGCCATTTATTTCTTTTCGGCCTCCAATATGAAGAGGTGTCGTTGTCGGACCTTTGAAAAGCCCAACTAATAGAGATGTGACCAAGAAAAATAAAACATGGGTTAGGTGACATTGCGACAAAGTAGATACGTGGTTAAAATTTTGGCTGAAATAGGAAATGAGCAACTGTGACTGGAATGCAAGCAGTACCAATTGCCCCGGCATGGTTAGTTATATAGGAACGCTTTTTGTGCGCTTCGAATACCGTCTAATTTACATATTAAACTTTATTACTCAATATTTGAGCTGGTATTTGAAACAAAATACACCATAGATAAATTCGAAATTCAGTTGTAGGCCCTCGGTGAGCAAACGCGTTGTTAGGACGTTTGGACACCGTGTGCCTACATCGAACAATGAAAATTCACTTACGTTCACTGTAAGCGTAACTTGTGTCCATCATGTCTAAGTCGTTCGACGCCCTGTGAAAGCCTCGAAGGTGTGCTGTTCATGTCACCCAATATTGCCGAGGACTGTAACGGCGTACTGTGGCATCGCCTCAGCGGCACAATAGACTGCAACGCTTAGCACAGTGTCGTGCGTGAAGGAGACTTAAGCAAGCTGTCATGCTCGCCGTGTGAAGGCAGCCGTAAATGTGATCAACTTTCTCGTGCCAGAAGTTCTTACATACCGACGAACAGTACCCTTCGATGAAATAACTGTTTCCCTGACCCAACGGACAATCAGCCGCTATTGCAGATGGCGAAGATACTGGTGCTACAGGAGTCGTGGGGGGCAGGCATTGTTCATTCACGAACAATTGTTTCTCTGAATCAGCGTTAGGGCCCCAGAAAGTCTCAAACTACTCAGGCTAGACCCAGTAAAAACGTTTCAGCGGCATTCCGATTCGCTCACGGCAGCCAATGCAAGAGCCAAAACACTAGTCATCAGTGAGGATGACTCCACCGCGGTGACACCGACGCTTGCTTGCCTCCACTGCCACGACAAGGACCAATGAAGAAAGAGACGGAGACAAAGAAAAAGAAACTTTTGAGACAATTTTTTTTCTGTCTATTTTCCTCTTGACATCAGCAAGAAACGAAAAGAAAGACGTAGAGAAGACAGGAGCTGGAGACTGAGAGACAAGTTGCCACAAGCGAGCCGCAGCGGAAACAAGCAGGGAAAGTAAAAATACGCGCGAAGGAGTCGCGCACTAAAAGGAAAAAAAAAGAACAACTGCTGGGGGCTATTTTTAAAGGATTCACAAATCAGAGCGGTTGAAGCACCCGAGGAAAGTGGAGGAGAGGAGGCACGAAGAAGAGAGAGCACGCGAAGGGGACGAAGGCGAGGAGATGGGGGCACACCGTGCGGCAGCAAGTAGATGCTCTCTGAGCGGAGAGTCTCAAGTTTTGCCGGTCACATTCCTAGACGCCACTGAGAAAGGTGATTCCAAAATGGCGGGTCCCCCAAAACCGCCTTGAAGCAGCCAGGTGTGCCATTACGTATACGGCGCATGCACAACGAGAGGTGTCATTTACGCCTAGACAGGTTGCGAGAATATCCGACCTTCGACACGAGCAGTGCCAGACAGTGTGCTTTGGGAAGAATCGCACCGCTTACCCCGATCGATCGACTGCAGATGATATGCCCCACGCCTACGGTGTAGTCATCATTCGAAAGAACTCCGCCCACTCAAGGTGCTGGCAGCGTAGAGGCTGGCGAGAGTGGTGCAGAATATGAATTGGGCACTTTTTTTACCAACAGTGCCAAGTTATGGATCGTAATCGTAAGACCTCGAAGTGGGAAAGCGTGAGCCGTTAAAGAAAAAAAAACACACACACACACAGTTTAATATTGGTAGTTGTTCACATCGTTTTACAGTCGACTACTTCTACGCAGAGTAAAGCAATAAACAATCATGTGGTATAATTTTATATTAGGATACACCCTTAGGAATGAATGTGACAGTCTTTATTGACTTGAGAAAAAAAAAGACATTACAAATAGAACGCGCCGCAATACCAACACGCTATTCAAGACCCAGAAGGTCGCATCATTGTTTATAGAGTAACTAATTTTGCTGAAACATTCTCATGCTTTGTTCTTTTCACGGACGGGTAGTATACGTATGGTGTCACAATAGAAGCGCTTCTTCAACAGCATGCATGACACCATCTTTTATTTCCGAAGATACGTCCGAGAACGGTCACACGATGCTTGCCCGGCCGTCATCTGTGCGTGCCTTTTCTCGCGTATATGGCCATGCGCGGGCAGCTCGTGAGCCTGCAGCGCGCGCGTACCGGCGGACGAGCGCCGTCTCCGAGGCATGCCCGCGGCTCGCGCACTGGGCCAACGGCGCGCTTCCCAAAAAGGGCTCCAGTCCGGGAAATCCGAGCTCGGAGTGCGGAGTCCCAAAACGGGCCGCCCAGAGCCGCCCCCTTGCAGCCGGCCGGAGGCGCAGCAAAAAAGAAACGCGGCTAAAGCCTCGCAGGAGCACCTTGTTGGCAGCAGGCGACCAGCACGCCCTCACGCGGCCAAGTCAGCCCTCTGGAAGGACCTTCAAGTGGCGATCCCTGGCTCTGCTCACTTCGACGTCGAGGGCTCTTACCGCTCACTGGTGTGGTGTGTGAGTTCTGGTTCCCCGGTGCGCGGACCCCAGCCTTACCCACACTTCGACTCCATTTCGACGAACTCGGCTCAGCTAAAGAAGACCGACCATGTCTAGCAGGAGCAGCAAGTACATGTACAAGAGCAGCGGAGGTGCTGGAGATATCTCCATCGAATATGGCACCGACCTCGGCGCACTCACCAGGCTTGAGGTAGGCACGCACCGGGCAGCGGTCCGTAGTCAGCTGCGTGACGAACCGCCGCTCTTTCGCGGGCTGCGGTTTGTCTCCGCACTGCAGGACCGTGGCGTTTAAACACGCAAGGAAGTACAGGCGGGATCTCCGAATGCCACTTTCACTGGCATCAATGCAAAGCTTGACTGGTGCTTACTGGACGAGGGAGAGCACAAACCCTGGTCTCACCTTGCCTTCTGCCAACGTTTCCGCCTGGAGTCTTGTCTTCCTGACAAAGTCAAGCTTCCTGAACGAAACTGTGGCGAGGGCTGAGGTGTCGCCTTGGTGTGCTTGACGACTGCGTTTTTCCAGAGCACAACAGAACCTAGCTAATTTCGATGATGCAAGGCGTCCGTCGCGGTGCTACGTTGACCCGTTTTTAGAGGAAGAAATCGTTTCAGGCTAATGAAAAGAAGCCTGTACGGGGCACGCTGAGAGGGGTCCTCTTGAGAGCCACGCAAACCCGTGACCAGAGTTCGTTTCACCATTCCGCTTGCAATGTACAGTGAACCAAATACCTATTTGCTAAAGTGCCCACAGTCGCGTGTGACGAAAATTCTGCTGTTAGACGCAGAACAGCTCAGTGAAACACTGAAAGGTGCTGGGAACTTAGACAGGCTTGCCTCTGAACAGGCAGAACACACGTGGTAGTGCGTATGCTAACTGATTATAGTTTAACATAAAAAAAACATTGGATTAACGTCTGAATGTAGTATCTATAGCTACCTAGTGGTTGAGTTTGCACAATTATAATCAACAACAGAGGCAGCCTGGGCGAGTAGATTACCGCAAGAAATGAGGCTTGTAACATTCTACATTGTTTTTTGGAAAGACTACTTATTAGGCTCTCAAGTTTCACGTAAAAACAATAGGTATATTGCTGGGAATTTTCACCGTGATTTTCTGTCCCACTTCAATCTTGACCACAGAGTGCATCAGGCAGAACGCACACCCAGGACGACCCTGCTGTTGCTTAAAGTACTGCCACGTGTGCACAGATTCAGTTTTTATTGTCTGCCTGAAGCGCCTTGTGTTGTAGAGTTTTGATTGGGCAATGCTGGCTTTCTGTCGAACCATGGGGACAACTTCGCTCTTCTACATTAAGCAAGCGCGGTTTATACGACGCCGAGCACAGACAACTATAGCTGTACATATTCATGTTATGCTGAGGTGGCGTGTATTTGAGACGACATTTGAAAGCTTCGAACTCTGTGACGTACTGTATGCAGCTGAATTACAAGCTAGATCTCGTTGAATCTTCGTCAATTCATCCGCGCTCCTAGTCCCTGGCCTCGCGTGAATGCTTACGTAAGTACCCTAGAGGGCTAGGAAAGATTCCAAATAGAAACAATTCTAGCTTGCACGCCTTGTGGAGACGTCAATGGATGTAGCTTGATCTTTACACCTTTGGCAGTGAAGACTGATGGCTGCTTGCAGCGGACTTGCAAAATTACGCCACCTGATTTGGTCATGGCATCAGGTTTCATAGATGTTTCTGTGCTGATGGGTATCAGCAGCTGAAAGTGAGGGTTCAAATGTTGCTCACTTTTCAATGCACCGTTTTACATGTGCATAAAATGTGAATATAAAAGGCAGAAAGAAATTGCAAATAATTTCTGGTGATAATTTTACAAAAGCATCATTTTAGGGGAGGCCACAGTGCAGCAACTTAAGCTGCGAAACAAAACACGGGGAGGACACTAAACGCAATAAAAAATGCACAGACTATGAAAATACTCGCATTTGGTGATTATTGGCTTATTAAATGTGATCACTACACGAATAATTGGAGCAATAATATTGGAGGGCACTTTCTAGATAGGTGTATTTAGAAAACATCTATAACTGTTTAAAATGCACCAGAACAAGCCCTGTCTACTTTCGTAAATATGTAAGACAGCAAAAACAAAAAACAGAAAACACCTGAGAAGCCCATTTATTTAGTTCCCACTTCTTTCTGAGCGTAATACTACCCTTCCCAGCCATAACAGGAACGCGGCCGATTACAGTCCTTGCATGTGAAAATTCCTTGTGTTACATCTGTTAAGAAACAGTAAATGAACAGGCACTACAATACTCTGGAATGCAGGAATGTAGGTGGTAGCACCAACATGCTAGGCACAAAAGGAGCTTTGCGTTTGCGACACCTTGCAAGGTCTCACCAAAGGATAGGTGAAGCCACCGGCGAAGCAGTCACTTTTCGGTCCATCATGTGGCGCTCGTGTCCCGGCAGAGTTTTTGCCAGCACTTGTTTTGTCTCGTTTTCACCAGGCGCAGCGTAAGCTTCTCGCGAACTGAACTGCACGCTGCAGTGTTTGCGCAAGACAAAAGATATGTGGCCTTTTTTCGTCCTGTGGCGACATGCCTCTATTTGGAAGCGCTAAAAGAGAGTATTACGAAAGGACGCGGCTGCTCTTCGCGCTTGAATGCGCTTGGGACCTCCAGAGTCTTGCGTCAGTGGTGCCACCTGGATTACACCGTTTCCGGAGCAAGAACCGAGGTGATCTGGCAACACTTGCAGCAATACGATACCGCAGCAAGGCACATGCAAATTCAGAAGAAAAGAAATTTCAAAACGTAGCCTTCAACAGGTCTACCTGCAGTATACATATTTTATTAGCGAAAGGCTGTAAAACTGGTGATTTTCTAATTTCTTAAGAGCTAGCAGATACATTGAAAATGCTTTGCCGCCGAGATATAGAGGCTCCATGCCAACGGCCTCCCATGTAACTTACACATACCTGACTCAATTACCAAGCTTTGAGCTCCCGTAGCGGTCAATGCACCTTACCAAAAACGCACATACACTTATTTTGCTGAAAAGTTCGTGATGGGAACTCCGGTATGAATATCCCAGAAGCAGCGGATGCTCGACGACAAGGCTGTGTGCGGTTTCAAGCGAGGTGATCGGAGGTGAACTGTGAAAATTGCGTGCATGACCCCCTTATACATCAAGACACCAAAGGTTAACTAAGTATAAAATAAAAAAAAAGTTGTCACAGGCGCCTAGGCTCGAGCCCTCTAACACTCACGCACAAGCCGGTATACTCTACAACAAGCCCCCCCCCCCCCCCCCCCTGCCAGTTACAAATCAGCGTAGGACAGTGCCGTGCTTCATTCTCGCTTCTACGAAGGTAATT